GCTGGGCTGTATATACTCATTAGGAACACATCCCAAAAGCGGGGAGGACCATGTGTGCCTGCATCAGCCACGACCTCAGTGGAAGCACCCAAAGAGCCGCCACCACATCCCAAGGTCGCTGGGGAAGGAAAACCAAGCAAAACAACAGAAATCCATTTTTAGGAAAAATCTGGCGATTATGTAGTTGATTACTAGTAAATTACTGGTTTTAAAAAGCTTTTCCTAGAAAACATGAGAATATCTGTTGGGATTGCTACAGCACCATACAAAAGTCAGCAAATGTTTTATTTAATATTTAAGGGACCGTGGAGACAACCGAGCAGCACGTGAACTGCAAACGCTATCTTTATTAGGAACGTATCAATACCCGCGCTGCGGCGTTTCCTGCCTCGCTTTAGGATTTAATGCAAGACTTCTGGGACCACGTTCGGCTCAGGCACTCTCTTTACTTGTTACCATTCAGTCTTCATTTGCAAATGATAATTTTTGGCTTTGAATGGCATGCCTGACTGCAGGGCAGAGTAAATCCAAACCTTTTAAACTCTAGCCAAAAATTTGCCATGAATTAGGAGACTGCAGAATATTTACAAGACAAAATAAAATATCACTACGAGTGCTCAGCGGTGGCGGTATGAATAAACGCTGATTATTCTTTTTTTTTTTTTTTTTTTTTTTTTTGACGGGATAATTTTCAAAGCAGCGATTTTGCAAAGACTCAGGAAGAAAACAATTTTGTTTCATTTCCATAACAGAATCCAGACCTCTAAATTCAACCTCATGAGCTACAATTATGCATAAGAACTACCACTGTGAATTTTCAAACACAATGCCTTTTATTGTCTCTTCTCATTCTTTTCCCTTCCTGTTCTCCGAGATTTTCTGTACTGTCACCCTCCCGCAGAAACTTTAGAGCAGAAAGTTTGACTTGAAAGGAAAACTTTCAAGTTTTCAGGCTTCAAAGGACAAACAACAGCACAAACCTTCGACACAAGGTATTTGAATGGTATTTGGGGTTTTTTTTTCCAACCTTATGGGAACAAACAACAACAAGAAGAAAAATCTTTTTATTATATGGAATCTTGACAAGATGAAAACTAATGTTCAGCTTTTCCATGACGGACGGAGGGGTGTTTTAGTCACCTCCTTCTGCATTCACACGCAATTGTCCTGGAGCTTGAGAAATGAAATATGCCAAATCCTGAAGACTGCAATTCCCTCGTCCTGCATAACCTGTGCGACATTTCATTCAAGGACAGTAACGCAGCCCAGACACAAAATACAGCAACTTCCTATTTACAGGAACTTACCAAATATTGTCCTTCAACAGTGCTATTTTATTAATCTGTTTTCCACCCACACGAGGAGGCGGGCAGCTCTTAAGTACAAATACTGAAGATGAAACACCTACGCAGCACGAGCGGCATGAAAAGCACATCTTGCTTTTCTACGGCAAAGCTTTTTTTTTTTTTTTTTTTATTCAAGGGTTGCTTTCAAATGGAGTCACCTCCAAGTCATTAAACATCCCTGCCTGGGAAATGAGGTTTCTCCTCCTAAAAAGCCAGAGACGAAAACACGCCTATGAATGTCACACACACTTTGGCGCTGCAAAATAGTTGAAAAATCTTCACGCTGCTTTTGAAGAAAGGCACGTGAGGCTGTCGCTGCAACCCCGCACCCCAGGCAGACCCTGTTTATGGGGAACATCTGGTTGCAATTACCCACTTGATGGAATGCAAAGCAACAATTTTTGTTCCCAATGGGAGCGGGAGAACAAACAGGACATTATTTACACATTAAAGAGAGTACTCACCCCGACACCACCGCAAGGAAGCCTGACAAACATCGACGTTAGAGAACCTGGAGGAAAAAAAAAAAAATACAGACCTTGTAAGTCAAAAAGTCAAAGTTCACCAGATTTTGGTCCAATTTTATGGCAATGCTGTAATCTTTCTAAACACAGGAACAGAGCGGGGTTTTCTTGCAATTTTCAGAAAACACCCAGCCAACCCTGTTACATTACAATACACACTTACACACAACACACACTCGGGCTGGTCCAAAAGCCTTGCCAATATAAAGACCTGCTATAAATCACTTATTTTTATGCAAGGTTTATGTGCTGTCCTACATTTCAAGCAGTCATGCTGACTCTAAACAACGGAGACGCTAGCAACAACTGCTCAGCACGTCTCTTCAGATGAACATTTTCACCCCTTTCAACTGAAGGAGGATCGGAAATCATAAAAACACCCTCACCATCAGTCATCTGCACAGTTAACAGAAGACTTTGGAGTGCACGAGCTTCATAAAAGAGGAAGACAAAAAATAAATAGGTGGTGAGAAGAGAGAATGTGTGCTTTGACTGAAAGAGCAAACCCAAGATGAAGATTTTGAGAAAAATGGAGAAAACCACCCGTAGGGTTAGTTTTGCATCTGTAAGAACGGTAACACCACTTTTGGGACTTGCATACGAGCAAATTATCCTCCGTTCAAAATACTGCAGCTTTATAAACCGCATACTGAAAGAAGAACATGCCGTCTCATCCATCGCCACCCCATGGGCACGACTTGTACAGGTGCCTGCGCACCGCAGGCCAACGGGGAGAAGGAAATCAGCACATGGAGGCACTGGAAAAGATCTGGAGAACATTGCCTGAGATTCATTTGCTTGAGACCTATTTAAAATTAACGTAAGGCGATGGTGAAATAAACTGAGTTGAGGTTGTTCTTGTTTTTTTTTCCTCCATCAAACCAGGTTCTTTTTCTGGTCATGTCTATACTAAAAGTATAAATTTCCTTTAAATGCTAACTACCAGTTTGGTAGAGCATGAATTAGCCACGCCAGCAGACAGAGGTTACTGAGGACCACGTTGGTGTCAAATGCATCGCAGACACGTACGGTACCCCTGTGACGGAAAGCGCAGTTAATGCGTCTGTACGATTAATCTGAGTGCACAGCCAGATTCATTCCTTGATTAGATCCACATGAAAGTTCTTAGATCATCCTGCCTCGGACCTCCTGTCACATCTTTCACTGCTAATCCACCCATTATTTCCGTATTTATCTTCTTGACAACAATGCATGATTGCTCTCCACAAATTAAAAGCAGCCTTATTTGCCTACGTTTAAACGTGTTCAACAGGTTCCAAAGCTTTACGCTGTCAAATGAGCGTTGGATTCCTATTTTTTCATCCTCAGACTTTCAAGGTCTTTAGCAACACTTCCAGGGTAGAGTTGTGCAACCTGCCTCGAAAGGCCACCACCTTCAAACCCGCTCGGATCAAACACAGCAAAGCCAATCTTTGGGATGCTCAGTGTCCTCTGGGGAGAGTAACTTCAACATTGTGGTGGGTTTCCGATGCAAGTCTCTTCTACACGTGTCAAGAAGAGCACTCTTTGAGAAAGGAGTAAGACTCAGAAGGAACAAGCTACAGGACAACTGCAGAAGCAATCAGCAGAGCCACATCGACGCCTGCTTACAATTCTGAAAAACCTGAGCTACTTACCCCCTTCCCTCTTTCTCCTAAAGGACTGCCAGATGAAGAGACATTTCCCTTATCATTTATGGAAGCTTAAAAAGAAAACATCTCATGTTTTCATCCCCCAGCTTTACAAGCTTTTCCTTTTAGGCTGACGTTTCTCGTGCTTTTTCTTCCTCAGAGACGTATCAAAGAGCTTACACGGAGCCAGCACCGCAGTCGTACGCACAGCAAGACACTCGGGTCTAACAAACTCACGTTTGCATATGTCAGCCTCACACAAAGCTTTGCTCTCAGACTTCAAACCTGCCGTGCCTTTACTCTCTAAAGTATCTAAAAGAACCCCACAATGCTGTTTTGTAAATGTAAAAGCCTTTTCAGCTCTCAACAGGAGAGGATGGCTGAAGGAGGGGCTCCTCACAGGCTTGCCCACCTCCATACACAAATGTGCACATCCAGGTTCTTCAGGGAGGTTTTCCCAGCACATCAGTAGCTGTGACTCTTGCTCAGGTCCAGCCCTGTGGAAGCCATCCAGTTAAGAAACTGGTTTTAGGGCCAGCACCACCCTTCCTGCCCTGCTCCCAAAGGAGAACTTCTCCCTGGGAGAGTTTCCCATTTCAGCTCATCACCTTGTCCCTCTGGAGACAGGGCTTATTTTCCTATTTTTCTCCTGCCTGGTGGGATGACCGGCAGCCACGCTGAACGGTGAAGCTGCTTTGCTCTTCGTCCAAGGCTGGTGCTCGGCACGAGCATCAGTGCCAGCTGTGGCTCAGGCGCAGCTCCACGTGCCACGGGAGGACAAAGCACGGGCAAAGATGGGCGTGCAATCCGGCAGCGAGCCCCACTGCTGGCAGCTCAAGGCTAAAAAAGGTGCCAAGTGGGTTTGGGAAACAAGGTCTAAGCTCAGCAAAGAGACATCAGCAAGTCCTTCCCACTGGAGGTCCTGGGGACCTGACCTCCTGCCCCTGGCTGCAGCTTCTGAAAGTGAAACCCAGCTGCTCGGCAGCGGTCTGGGGGATGGCTAGAGTCCCAGCCGAGCTCTAGCCTAACATCCACAAACAGGTTAGTCTTAGAACTGATTTGTTATGAATGTTGCTCCTTGACAACTTGATTGTCTTTGCAAACGACACCCAAAGAGGGAACGGTTTGTACTGACATACCCTCAGATGTTAGAATTGTTTCTCTTCACCAGAGGAATAAACCACATCTCTGCAAAAAAGACACAGCAAAACTACAGAAGTCCTCACAGCCAGGGCAAGAGCTTCTCCTCTCTTGGCTTCTCCAAACAAACCAAAAGGAATGGTTCAGCAAAATCTAGGTGTCCCCAAATCCAGTACTAACCAAAAAAACTGTACCTCCAAATGTATCTGGGGAGCTATCGACACAGCTTGTGCCAAGAGTCAAAAGGGGAGTGGAGAAGTATTTCAAGAGCATCTGACATTTGAACGAGCAGGAAACACTTGGTGTTGTCCCAGGCCACCCTTGCCACGTACCTTGCAAGGTATGTCCTAAAAGAGAGGGGTCCAGGTGACCCGCTGCCCGCTCAGCCCCCCACGTATGGGGGGCCAGACCTGCCTGCTCCAGGCTGGTGAAGCCAACGGGGCAGCTGCTGGAGGGCTGCCTGGATCCCACCGCAGCCGCTGGTCAGGACACAGGTCCTCAGGAACCTTCAGTGCTATGGTTCTCAAGAGCTTGCAGAGGAATTGGTCAGCGTGAAGGCTGCGCAAATACAAACAAGGAGCTTGCTCAGGTCTGCAGGGGAAGATTTACACACTGCTCCCTTGGACTGCTGGATACGCCTTACAGAAGGCGAGAGTTTTACATTAGCGAGGATATGACATCATAAGTTCTTGAAACCTTACATCCTAATTGCGCTATCATTCAGCCAGAGGGTGCCTCCTTTTCGTTTCTCTGGGTTTTAAAGAGGTGGTAAGTTAGCTATAAATGCAGCGCTAATTGCATGTTTAAACAAGCGGCTAATGGCTTTCCTCTTTGGGGAGCTAATGTACATACTGCATACCTTGCAACATCAAGCCAGCTCTTTTGCTGTGACTACTACATCATGCAGGCCATCAAGTTAATCCTCTTTTTATATCATCCAAAGTCAAGCTAATCCCAAAATAAACTTTCTCAGCTTCTAGGTTCCAGAACTGTCTTTTTGCTGATCCCCATGGGAGAACTTCCCAAACGGCCCCTCCAGTCTATCACCTACTGCTGCAGAAAGGCACAAAGTCAAGGAAGAAGGCGATGTCTCCACGGAGGTAAGGTTGCTCCGGGGGGTTGGTCATCTAAACAGCCACCCTCTAGATTTTTTGCAGGGAAAATGTCTGTATTTTAAGGCAGATGCAGACCCGTTTCGGGAAGATCCAGTCTCCAGTGAAAGGGATAAACAATCTTACTCCAAATTAAACAAATGTAAGACTGTCTAAGAGACCCCTGCATCTCTCTTGCAGATTATCCACCCAAAACTGACAGCTATTTGTTAATGACTAGGCAGCTGGATGGTGGATAATTTTTCTAACATAGAGAGAAGAGTGTCCAAGGATAAAATCAAAAGTCTGAATTACCCTTATCTCCTTCTTCCTAAAAGGAAACCTCTTTTTAGATTTTGAAGACTTCAAAGAAAGGAAGTTTTAGCTATCTAAGGTTTAGGGATCTGCTGGAAGAAAGGGAGATACCTAGAAGTTTCTTGCTGTCCAGTTTCTGTCTGTTCAAAGGGTTTGTGCCGTACAGCAGCGTATGGGCTTCCGAGTGAACTGTCTGCAGCTCTTCTAGAGTTGCTTTTCTTCCACGAATGCACTGAAAGAGGAAAGAAAAGGAGGTGATGAAATCCCTGATTAACTGCTTAACTCTCGTTAAAGAACTTTTCATTTTCCTTAGCAAATCATAAAGACAGTGAGCAAAAAACTAAAACGGGTTCTCATGCAGAAAAATTCATCGTAACACAGATTTTGGTTTAATCCCTTATTCAAAATACTAGCTTGACATACAAAGTCATCTTTAGATTGATTTATGTTTTTTAAAAAAAATTCTTACCACAGAGCATTTACTAAATTACACAGGTATTGCTCGACTACTGAACATTCAGGGTTTCAGTTATAAGCTATTAGAAAGTGATTTTCTGGTGAAAACATGTCCCTCCAAGCCACCCTCTGACATCCCCACCACAACGATTAAGCTAACCAAAAAGTTTCACCCAAACACACCGCTTTCCAAACGGAACCTTTGAGCCATTAAGGGTCAGTTACAAACTTTCCTGGAAATCCCACAAGACTCAATCTGTTGCAATTGGTTTTCTCAAACAATGACGCAGGTTGAGCTGGAAGTTCTGTACTGAGTATGCTCACCCCTGCTTTTGCTGCCAGCTGAAACCCAGAAGGGCAGACAAACACCTAAGTCAAAACCCCGGCTTCACTGAAGATCACAGAATCACACAATGGTTTGGGTCAGAAGGGATCTTTAAAGGTCATCTAGTCCAACCCCCCTGCAATGAGCAGGGACATCTTCAACTAGATCATTGCAAAGCTTTTACTGATGTCAGCAGGACCCAATTTCATTTTACATTTTACAATTTGGAGACCTTTTCCCCTTTTTTTGTCATAGGAGTCCAGCATACTGCATCCAGGCTGGACAGAGAATGGATTGAGAGCA